TGCACACCCATGTTTATTGCTGCATTATTCACAATAGCAAAGACATGGAACTAACCCAAGTGCCCATTAATAAATAAATGGATAGAGAAGCTGTGGTATATTCACACATATTCACAAAAAATAGAATAGTATGCAGCAATGACAAACAAGGACCTAGTAAAATATTACATAACATGGGAGACTCTGGAGGACATTATGCTGAGTGAGATATCTCAATCACAAAAGGACAAACGCTGCATAATATCACTTTTATAAAACAGGATTGACATGGGGTTGGGAGGAAACTGAGAAAAGAGGGGATAAATATCTCTGCACTGGAACAGATGAAGTAAAGAAAATATCTCTGCATTGGAACAGATGAAGTAAAGAACTGTTAAAAAAATTTGATTAGGCATTATCTGTATGACAACAGTCCAGAATAAGTGGTGCATAGCAAAGTGGACTGGAGGAGGAAGAGAGAGGAAATTATGCAACAGTGCATGGAGAGAGAGAGAGAGAGAGAGAGAGAGAGAGAGAGAGAGAGAGAGAGAACTGCAGGGAGGATAGGGAGGAAAATGTGTGATAATGAACAAATGAAAATCCAACTTTTCTTTAAACTTTTGTTAAACTTAAAAAGAAAAAGAAAAAAGTGGTAAACATAGAAGGGAAGCGGGAAATGTAACACTATATTGTGCAGATTAAAATCAACACCATGAAACCAAAGTGCATGAATTAATGAGTGGAAAATCGTTTTGCCCTGTAAATTTCACCCAAACCACAATAAAAGTTTTGGTTATTACAGCTCTATAGAAGGTTTTGAGGTCAGGAAGTGCTATGTCTCCCATTGCGTTTTTGTTTTTCAGTTCTCCTCCTTTGCTTATTTGAGGTCTCTTTGAACCCACAACAATAATAGTTTCCAGGGGTCTTGATTGTGGATCCAAATATAAAGAAATATTTTTCTGATTGCAAAAAAACTCAAGATCAAAACCCAACAACCCCCCCCCCACAAAAAAAAGGAATTTGATATCTCTATTGGGACTGTGCCGAACACTTTTGGTAGGATTATCATTTTCACTCAAAGTACCTGTTGGAGGGCCTTTGTATTTAAAAGTTGGTTGGGTCCCCGGGTCTAGTGTTACTATATTTTGGAGGAATACCATTTTTGTAAGTGGTACAGCACTGGTATGTCAATTTGCTGTACTGAGGTAATCTAGGGTTCCTGTGTTGCTGAACCCTGTATCATTGGTGCGTCAAATGCCATATTGTTCTGATGTCCCTATCTTTATCAAAGAGATGTGAAAATTCCTTTCCTACAATTTGAGCATTTCTTTATGTTTTCTGGCCTTCTCAGTGTTATCTTTAGTAATGGGTCTTTTCATGTGTTCTGTTCATTTTGTAATTGAGCTGTCTTTTTTCTTTGTTGAGGTGAGTTTTCTCAATTTTAGAGATGAGTGCCTTTTCAGATATGTAATTGAGAGAATTTTTCCCAATCTGTAGATTCTCTTTTCAGTCTTTTGAGAAGTCTTTTGGTGCACATAAAGAATTTTATACTTAAATATACATAATTGTATAGAGAATTGTGGACAATTTCAACAATGTAGACTATTGGATAGATATTTACACACTGTATCTCTCACTAATAGCTAATCTTCTTTAAAAGGATGTTAAATTAGCATTACCATAAAATTCATAATAAAACAAGATATTTCCATATAGATTGAACCATAAAAACTGCTGATGAATTAATATTTTTAACAATAAAATGTAGTTTCATGGGTTCTAGCTAAAAGAGTTTGTCCTTCAGAGTCTCAGTTGGCTTTGCTTATATTAATAATAGTGGAAATCCTTTAAAAATTCTTGCTTCCTACTTTGGAACAGGAGAACTAAAGTTCGTCACTTCAGTGAAGGACAAAGGGCAATCAATATGTCTCTGTTCAATGCACACTGCAGTCCTAATGCTCACTTCACTATGAGATGTGCTTGAGTGTAGACTAGACTGAAGAAGATGTTAGTGTGTATGAGGCTGATTTTTTTTTCTTTCTCATAGGATTGTGAATAGTCATCATTTTAATATGATGAAAGCATAGACTGAAGGAATGAGAATTTATTAACTACTCATATGCCCTCTAATGTATGAATCTTTTGGTATTCGTTATAGAAAATCAGATAATTATTTTTTAATTTTTTTATTTTGTGTGCGTGTACCGTCAAATCAGATCTGACTGGTACAAGCGGATATTGCGCCTCCTTCTCCGGCAGAGCATCTGGTGGATTCAAACCGTGTTCCTCTGGGATTGCAGTGCAGCTTCTTGCCACTAGGCCACCAGAGCTCCCCTAATTATTTTTCATTATTAGAAAAACATGTGTTTTGCTTGATTCCTCATAACAATTTTATATATATTAAATGATAATTAGAAAATAATGTCTTCCCAATAGAAAAATGACATTTTCATGTTTTATTCATGCTTTCCACTTTTCAGATACAAAATCAATTTTGAGTTATTAATAATCAAAATAACTAGAATAATAAAATATTCCTCTGAAGCAATGTTATGAGCTCTGTGTATTTCCCTGTGTTTGTGATATCCATTTTATGTGCATTTCGGAGAATTATATTGAAAGTATTTAAATACAGTTTGTTAGCATCCTACTCACGTCCTTTAAAAATTGGTGCGTGCTCTTAAACTTTCAGCGGGAGCTCCTTGATGTTGTGGATAATAATGAATCAGCAGTGATTGTTGCCCCAACATCCTCCGGCAAAACCTACGCTTCTTACTACTGCATGGAGAAAGTGATGAAGGAAAGTGATGATGGGGTGGTTGTGTATGTTGCACCAACAAAGGTAGAACTCTCATTGTTTTGTTTTGTCTCTCATTCCTAAATCTCATCTTTTAAAATCATATGTGATGTAGTGGATCTATTTCACTTTCTTTTTAACCCACATTTGTTCGCTCCTTATAGTTTCACAGGGCATAATACTTTCCTTAGAACCATGTTCTTGTCTTAGGCATTGTGCATGGATTTAGAGAAGTACAAACACTTTGTTGGACAATACTGAGAGTCATCTAACAACCTAACACTTACTCTGCTGGGTGTGTGGGCTGCATCTGATGGCCTGTTGGGCAATTGCAACTTTTCTGCCCTCAAGCCAGGCTATTTTTCTATACTTGGTTTTATGTCTTACTTGGCTTGTTTTGTACAGAATTTTCTTTTTAATTTAAGAAACAGTCTGAAACATCAATATATATTCTCATTATCAGCCTCTTTCATTTAATAATGTTGCTCTTAAGTTACTTGAATTTAAACTCCTTTCTATAATAGATACAAGCTATTCCCTAAGTCCTAGCTTTCCAAGTAGTAGTAGTTTCTTCTCATGTAATAATTTAATATTTTATCTTTTTTATGAAGCCGTCTATTTATTCTATTCAGGACTGAAGGTTTTTTCATTCTTACTTAAGTACCTCAAGGAAAGCCCTGTAACAAGTTTAATACAGATGAGTATGAGAAACATAAAATTTTCTAAACTCAGGCCCAAACAATGTGGACAGATTTGGTTGTACTTTAAGAGTTTATCTGTCCTACCTTACTAATAGATGTCTTTCTTTATCAATCAGGCCCTTGTAAATCAAGTGGCAGCAACTGTTGAAAATCGTTTTTCAAAAAACCTGCCAAGTGGTGAAGCTATATGTGGTATTTTTACAAGGGAATATCGTCATGATGCCCTAAACTCTCAGGTATGGTTTTTAATGAATAATTTTCTTATAAAATTAAGTCGCAATATTTATGCAATGTTTTCACTAGGATTTGAACATCTGCACAAAGGTCTATGAAATTATTCCTTTGAATTTACAAAAAAGCAAAATGGCTTTATAAAAATAGTATATGCATCTTTATTTATGATGGGTTAAAATTTTTCTGGAAATGAGGCATCAGAAATTGAATAATCATAAGTTTCAAATCAGAATAGTTATACAGAGTTTTCAATTATTTGACCATGGTCTTTTCAATCACCTGGTAGGCTAGTGACAAATGGACAGTGGATAAGGGTGACAGAAAAAGAATTGATGGCTTTGAACTGTGATGTTAAGAAAGAGTACTCAATATTCCATGGAGTGCCAAAAGAACAAACAGATATGTCTTAGAGAAGGTGCAGCCAGAGTGCTCCTTGGAGGCAAAGATGATAAAACTTCATCTCACATATTTTTAGAGGTGAGACTATTTTTTTGGCGATGGACATCATGCTTGGAAAGGTAGAGGGAAAGTGAAAGATAGGAAGACCTTCAACCAGATAGGATAACACAGTGACTGCAGTAGTGGGTTTGAGTGTGTCAAAGATTATAAGGATAGCCTAGAATAAGATAAGGTTCAGATTTATTTTTTCTTAGGACTGTTATAAGTCTAATTCAACTGAATGGCACCTAACAACAACAATATACATGGAGTTAGGTAAACCATAGAGAAATGCAGGTATCAAAAATCCCCAAAATTGCCAGAAGAACAAAGAAATGAAGTTTGTTTCTAATGAATTCACAGGTAAACAGGTAAGCCTAAGCAAAATACTGCCTAGAGAAAATTGTACAATAGAAATGAAGAGGTGGGATTGTTCTACAAAGATTTGCAATTCAGCTATGGACAATGGGGTATCATCAATATGGTCACCGTCAGCTCTCTCAGCTCTGCATCCGTGGTTCTAAGATAGTAGGCAAGGGCTTAAACAACTGGCTATTTTGCCTTAATACGAAAAGACTCTGGGTGGCTATCATCACTCCAGAATGTTAAATCCGGGTGGCTTAAACTTCATCAGGTGTGTGTTGCAGTTTGACTTCTTTCCTGCTACAACTTTTCATCATTTTTGATCCTTAATAATATCTTACACCCAAAACTCAATCCCAGGGTCAAATTTTGGAGAATGAAAAGTAAAACGTAATAAGAAAATTAAATAGAGTTCATATAAATCAATATCCTGGTCATTAGTGAGCTTAAATGGTGTTGAGCGTTTGAGTACAAACTACTATTCTGAGAATGACAAATTCAAGAGAAATGGCATCATTTTCATCATCAAAGTAAACATTTAAATATGTATTTTTAATTACACAATGCTGCCAATGATAGATAATATTCATAAACATATAAGGAATACCTGTTAATATGATTACTTTTCAAATTTACACACCAAGCATTAAAGCTGAAGATGAAGAAATTTGGGGTTTCTGACAACTTTTGCATCAGAAAGCTGGACAATGTCTAGGGATGATAGAAGGAGGTTTAATGCCTTAGAGCTGTGGTGCCGAAGAAGAGTATTGGATAGACCATGGACTGCTGGGAGAACTGTATTGAATATATCATGGACTGGTAGAACAAATAGGTTAATCCTAGAGAGGGTGAGAACAGATCGCTCCTTGGAGGCAAGGATTCTGAAGCTTCGTCTGACGTACTTTGGACATGTTGCAAGGTGGGATTAGTCCTTGGAGAGGGACATCATGCTTGGTTGGGTTTAGGGACAGCACAAGAAAGGAAGTCCCTCAATGAGATGGATTGATTCAGTGACAAGGGGTAATGAGGATAGGTGTGTCAGAGACAATAAGATTGGCATAGGATAGAACAGAGTTTAGGGCTGTTGTGCATAGGGTTGCTATGAGCCACTGGTGACACGACAGCACATAACAACAACAACGGCAACAACAACAACTTTTGCACTCTGAAATTTTTCAAACATGCAATCAAGATTAATCAACAATTTCTTGTAATGAGAATATAGAAATTGGAAATAAACATTGGTATTTTGAAAATAGCCATAATAAATTATGTTTAACATTTTGAAGAATGAGAATTTCATTACATTTTAGCTATGCTCATACAGAACCTGACCATGAAGCTGTCATTTTGCATAGTTTGAAATCAGAAAAAAGTTTTTTGTCAGAATTTTATCCTTTAATCTTATTTGTTCAGTCTTATGGGGCTCTGGTGGCCTAGTGGTAAGCAGTTGTGCTGCCAAGTGGAAAGCACATGGTTCAAATCTACTAGCTGCTCTGCAGGAAAAAAGATGGGCAGTCTCCTTCCATGAGATTTACTGTCTCTGAAAACCCACCAGAGGTTCAGCTATAAGTAGGTTCTTACTTTACAATACACAAAAACCTAAGAACACACCACCTGTATGATGAGGAAATTGGACTATATGCAGATGAACAAAACATCAAGATTGTTAGAAGACTCACTAATGACATGTAATGGCACAACCTTGCTTGCAGAAAACAAAGACTTGAAGTACTTATTGATGAAACTCAAAGACTATGATATATATTACATCTTAACATAAAGGGGGAAAAATATCTGATAACTTGAGTTATACAAGTATCATGACAAATGTGGAAAAGAATGTTGTCCAAAAAAGCTGTGAATGATTTGTTATTTTGACTTGGATCCACAATTATGGATGCAGTGGAAGCAACAGAAAGATAAACCAATGGGCCTACTACAATGGGTAAATATATTGCTAGGAATCTCATTCAAAAAAATACAAAAGAACAGCTAGGATATCACTTTAATGCACACTTGATGGAGCAGTGCCAATTTCAGTTTCTTTTCATGCATGTGAAAGTTGTAGAGTGAATGGGAAAGACCAATGAAGAATCAATACCACTGAATTGTGGTGTTGACAAAAGAGAATTAAAATACAATGGACACCCAAACAAGCAAATCTGCTTGGATGTAGTGCAACCAGAAACACCTTAGCAGCAAGGATGCTATGACTTTATCTCATATGCTTTGAGCGTGTTATCAGTAGGAGAATTGTCTCTGCAAAAATGATATCATACTTGGGAAAGTAAATGTCTAGTGGAAAAAGAAGACAAGCCTTAAGGAGATGTATTCACATAGTAGATACAACAGTGGCCTTAGTCACAGCCAATGATAGTGAGTATGGCACAAAATCAAAAGGGCATTCCATTATTTAACACACAGGGTTGGTATAGGTTTGAGCTGACTGACAACAGTTAAGAAGGACAAAAATATGTTTAATACTCTGAATGCTTATATACTTAAGAATTAAAACTTTCCAGCTGTCATTTTAATATTTTTGATCTACAATAATTGTAATTTTGTGTATTTCAAACTTTTACAAATCTAATACTTATTTTCACAGATATTACTATACCCTAGAATCTTGAATAGTGCACATTGTTTGTATTTAACAAACAATCACGATGTTTGTTGTTTAAACACCTCCAGTGGTGCCATGATAGAAAGATCTTAGTATCTGCTTCCTGAAAATTACAATAAACAAAAGGAGAAGAAGAAAGAAAACAAAACAGATGTAGCTCGTAGAATCACGATGACCCAGAAGTTGAAGGTTTTGTCTTTGGTATTTTAGTTATGTGTATGCCCGTCATAACTAACATGACTCATAAACTCTCATTTTCTCTGTGTGCATATGTATTCATCTCACTGTCTTCTGGTAGTAAATATGAAAATTTTTTTACTTTACGCATTCATTATTTTTAGGTGCTTGTTACAGTGCCTGCCTGCCTTGAAATTCTGTTGTTATCTCCTCATCGACAAAAATGGGTGAAAAAGATCAGATATGTTATATTTGATGAGGTAAGTTTGGTGTCTTCTGAATTTGTGTCCTACTGTATATTGATTAGGAGCTGGGCTGCCAACTCAAAGGAACTCTTTTTAAATTTACCAACTAATCTTCAGGAGAAAGATGGAGTCTCTTTGTGATTTACAGCTTCTCAAAGCCCACAAAGGGTTAGCTATGAGTTGATTCAGAATTTATGGCAGATAAGAACAAAAACGGTGCGTAAGTCCTATAATGGGGCCTTTGGTTCTTCAGAACATCTACTCCCTTGGTTGAGGTTCGGGTTGGATAACATTTCCTTCGGAATAGCCTTCCCAATGAATCATAATTTTTGAGACCTTGATATGTTATTTTTTTAAAAAATGTATTTTATATTGATTTTCTTACAAAATTTATATCCATTTTTGTTTTGTTTATATGCATCATGTTTCACACATTCCTCTATTCACATTGTGTTTCATGCTCATTCTTATGCATTATGTTCTATAAAACCGATCACCATTGATCCAGATTTCCCCCTCTTCACACCCTCAGGCCTTCTCCTGCTTCCCTTTCCTTCTTTGGATTTTTGTACATGTCTCTCAAGCAATCTTCCTGTTTTTTTACAATAATTGTTTTTATGCAATATTTGTCCTTATGAGACCGAGTTAATCTTTTACCCCAATTCTTTTATTGATTCCATAGAGCACATTTGTTCATTCTATTAAAGGATAAGCTCTGTGTGGAAGAAAATATTATTGATAACTAAGTTTACCTTATCCTAAAAGGATAGGATGAGGAAGCAATAACTAAAATTTAAAGAAGGTTATTACTGAGATGACCACATTGTGAGATACCATTCTTAAATGATGGTTTTACACAATGAGATCATGGTAAAATTCCAAGAAGATGGCCAAAGGAATAAAAATAAAATAGCTTCATTCCACCACCTTTCTAAGAGCAATCATCAAGTTTCTCCACTGGTAAAATCTAATAGAACTACAGAGTATGGGAGTACTTCTGAGGTAATACTTTCTACCTCAATTTCCTGAGCAAGGATAATAAGGTGTAAAGTCATAGATATTTATAGGAACAAACGTTGGATTGTTCAACCCTGTGTGCTGCAGCTCTGAACCCTGCTCTGTCTTGAGTCAATCTCTATCCTGAGCCAAA